CACAACCAGGCACCCTGTGCCAGTGCCTCAGGGCCTGCCCTGGGACCCAGAGCATGGAACTAGGGACTGGACCCCCTCCCTCCCACAACCAGGCACCCCATGCCAGCACCTTGGGGCCCGCCCAGGGACCCAGGATGTGGAGAAGGGGACTGAACTCCACTCCCACAACCAGGTACACTGTGCCAGCACCCTGGGGCCCACGCCGGGACCTGGGGTATGGAGCTGTGGACCAGAACCCCCTCCCACAACCAGGCACACTGTGCCAGCACATCGGGGCCTGCCCTGGGACCTGGGGCATGAAGAAGGGGATGAGACCTCCTCCCACAACCAAGCACCCCATACTAGCACCCTGGGGTCTACCCAGGGACCTGGGGTATGGAGCCGGGGACCGGACCCCCCTCCCACAACCAGGCACTCCATGCCAGCACCTTGGGGCCCGCCCAGAGATCCAGGGCATGGAGAAGGGGACCGTATCCCCCTCCCACAGCCAGGCACACCGTGCCAGCACCTGGGGACCCACTCGGGGACTGGGGAATGGAACTGTGGATCGGACACTCTCCACAACCAGGCACACTGCCAGCACCATGGAGCAGGCCAAAAACATCTCCATGTGGGTGGCCCACCTCAGGCACCACGATAACCATGGCTGCCACGAAAGTGGCTAGATGCCACAACCACCACGCAGATGGTCCGCCAGTCACTGGAGTGAGTTGACACAAGGAGAGTCACCAGCAGAGATAGAAAAAGGAGGAGGATTTTTATCTCCACAGAGCCCATTTCATAGTGATGGAAGAGACATCTGCTCTATGATAGTATTGGGGGACCTGATCACGCCTCTCAGCATTGGACAGATCATTTGGGCAGCAAATCAAAAGAGTAACCATTATTGTTTCAGAAGGAGAGAAGAAATCTAGGGTGGTTAGAGGCAGGAAGGGGGAGGGCAAGGGGGATGAGGAGGGGTTGGTCAAGGGGCATAAAGAAAAAAGAAGGAGAGAAGAAATCTAGGGTGATTAGAGGCAGGAAGGGGGAGGGCAAGGGGGATGAGGAGGGGTTGGTCAAGGGGCATAAAGAATAATTATGATTTGTAACAATATATTTGCTAATAATATTGATTTGATCAATGTTGAACGCCCAAAATATGTATAATCAATTTTGATTCAATAAAAATTAAAAAAAACAATAATACTAATTTCAAAGTAATTGCAACAATATATGCAATGCTGTGTGAAATCAGAACAAACAGTTACGAAGAGTTAAAACCATAAGGTTATAAAGGCTTTGGTAGGTGAATAATATTCATATCGAATTCAAAACTGTAATAGATGCGAAAAACACACTGGATCGTGAGAAACCCAAGTCAGTAAAGTAGATTAACTGAAGACATCCATAGACAGAAGAAATGTACAGAGAAAGAAAAATTATAATAAAACACAGAGGAAAGATCCAAGAGATCCAATATGCATAGGACAGGAATTTCAGAAGAGCATAACAGTGAAGTAAAGCATCAATAAAAGGGAAAACAGAATAAAACTTTTATTTTTTCTTTATGAGCTGAAGAATGTCTTAAGTAATCACAGATTTATTGAATATAAGCAAAACACTGTTGAATTCTACAAAATATTTAAGGAATAAATATTACCAAGTACATATAAACTTTTCCAGAAAATTGAAAAGAGAAGAATATTTTCTAATGCATTATATGAAGCCAGCATTACTCTGATATCAAAAATAAACTAATACGTTAAAAGAAAAGAACATTTAGACTAATGCCCACCATAAGGCCAACAATATATAAAAAGGATAGCATATCCTGACCAAGTGTTTATTCCAGGAATGCATAACTGGTTCAACATTCAAAAATCAATGTAGTTTATCATATAAACAATCTAAAGAAGAAAAATAATAGGATTATCTCAATGTAGATTTTTTTTTAAAGCATTTGACAAAATTCAACTTCTACTCATGGTAATAAAACTCTCAACAAACTAGGAATAGAAAGAAATGTTCTTAACCTGATATCGGACATCTATAAAAAGCCTACAACTAACATTGGGCTTTGTAGTGAAAGACTGAATGTCTTCTCCCTAAGATCAGGTACAAGATAAGAATGTTTGCTCTCAACCCCTCTTATTCAACATCACGCTGGAGGTCCTAGCCAGTGCAATAGGCAAGAAAAATAAATAAAAACACACACATTGGAAAGGAAGAATAAAACTTTCTCCATGTGGAAAAGACATCACTGTCTAATGTAGAAAAATCCAAAGAATAAAAGACCTAATAAGAGAGTTTAGCGATGTTGCAAGATACAAGGTCAATATGCAAGAATCAACTGTATTTGCATATATTAGTAATGAGCAATTGGAAAGTGGGATTAAAAACAACAGAATCACTTACAATAGCACCAAACATGAAATACTAAGGGATAAATCTATCAAAATACATGCAAAATCCTTACACTAAAAACTATATGACACCAATGAAGAAAAAAATCAAATAAGAAATAGAGTGTACCATGTTTATGGATTGAATGACTCATTAATGTCAAGATTTCAGTTCTTCCCCCAAACAATTTATATATCTAATGCAATTCCAATCAAAATTCCAGCAAGATGTTTCATAGAAATTAACAAGCTGATCCTAAATTTATATGGAAAGATAAAGGAATTACAATAGCTAAAACAACTTTGAAAAAGAAAGAAGGTGGAAGACTCGAACTACCTAATTTTAAGATTTAATAAAAAGAAACAATAATCAAGACAGTATGGCATTGATGAAAGGATAAATTAATAGGACAAACTTAAAAGCCTAGAAATAATTCCAGACATTAATAGGCAATTGATTTTTGATAAAGGTGTAAAGACAACTCAGTGGAGACAGGATAGTCTCTTCAACAAATGGTGCTGGAACAACTGGGTATCCATATTCAAAAAATGAATCTCGATCCATACCTTGCACTGTTTACAAAAATTAACTTCAAATGCAACATACACCTAGAAACATTACCTAAAACTATAAAACTTCTAGAAGAAAACGTAAGAGAAAATCTTTGTGACCTTGGATTAGGCAAAGGATTGTTAGGTACAATACTAAAATCATGATTCACACAAGAAAAAATTGATAAAGTGGCCTCCATTAAAACTAAGAATTTCTGCCTTCTGAAAGACACTGGTGGGTGAATGAAAAAACATGATACAGAATGGAAGATAATATTTATTTCTGATAGAGCTCTTGTATCAAAGTATACAAAGAATTCTCAAAGCTCAATAAAACAATCTTTAAAATGCACAAAAGATTTGAACAGACACCTTACCGCGGAACAAGTCTCATGTAAAATAAACCCATGAAGAAGTGCTCAACATCATCAGTAATTTGGGAAATGCAATTTAAAACCACAATGAGGTCCTGTTACACACCTACTAGAATGACTAAACAAACAAACGAACAAACTGGCACTGCCAAGGGCTGGCAAGGGTTTGAAGCTCCTGGAGCTCTCCTACATCAGTAGAGGGAATGCTAAGTGCCCACTTTGGAAACAGTTTGGCAAACATTGAAAAGTTAAATGTACCCTTACCATACAACCCACAGGTCCACTTATGGTGACTTTATCCATACAAAACCTGTATGTAAATGTCTAGAGCAGCTTTATTTGTTATTGCCCCAAACTAGAAACAACCCAACTGCCTTTTAACTGGTAAATGAATAAACTGTGCTACACCCACACAATGGAATACTATTCAATAATAAAAAGGAACAAACTACTGATCTATGCAACAACATGGATGAATCTCACCATATACTCTAGCTCGATTGAAATGACATTCTGGAACAGGCAGCACTGTACGGACAGCAGGCAGAGGTTGGTAGGTGGGGAGGGGTTGACAACAAAGGGTCGCGAGGCAGTGTTGGCAGTGATGAAACTTCTACATCATGGCTGTGGTGGTGGGTACATGACTGCAGGTGTTTGTTAAAACTTGTAGAATTGCAATGGGGTGAATTTTACTGTACGTAAATTATACCTTAATTTTTAAAAATGGAAAAATAAAAAAACTAAAGGATGAAACTCAGGGAGTAAAACCCATTGTCCTCAGCCCCCGTTCCTGAGAGCTCCACAGAGTGTGGTGGACCCTGTGTTCAGTGTTTCAGGGCAGATTCCAACAGGAAGGCTGCAGGTCTTGGCTCAGGAATAGGGGGTAGGGGTGTGGAGTCACAACTTTGGGACCTGAGGAGGACACAGATCAGTCCCTCTCACCCACCTCTGGGGAGGGTACCCTACACGGGTGAGCTGTTGTTGGACACCCCAACCTTCTTGATGGAGGTGGACTTAATGTAAAGCTAACAAAGCTTAAATTCACGGCTACTCACTTCTCACTTATATAGTCCTCTTCTTGGAAGGGGCCCTGGTAATATGTTCACATGGTTATGTGTTTTTGTGAAAGTTGCAAAAGTGAGATATTTTAACCACAGTTATTAAGGCCACTGTCTCTTGCCATTCTGATTTCTTCTCTGGCACAATAAACCTCCTGGTACATTTCCTCCACTGACATTAGAATGGCCAAAAACATTCTAATTAAAATAACTTCCAAATACACCTAATTTTGCATTTTTTTAACAGGGTCCCCTTCCCACCCCTGCCCCCAGTAGTGACTAAGCCTCAAAGGCCCTCCAACCCCTGGACACTCTGCCTCTCTGCTGACTGCGGTGCTGCCCTGCCCTGGAGGCCAGCTCTCTGATGCACTCACCTTCCGGTTGAAGCGGTCAATGATGACCTGATGGGCCAGGTGTGTCACATTCAGCATCGCCAAACAGAATGGGGGCCAGTTCAGGTGCCCCTGCAGAGAGAGCCCAGCCCTCATCAACCAGAGCCCTGTCCTGCACCCCCTCCAGGTTGACAAGTGCAGCAAGTGTGAGCACACTCTCCCCACCCTCTCACTATGCCAAGGACACCCATTGGGTGGTGCAGATGGTGCACAAAATCCCACAGAACATCTCTGGCCCCACCTGATCTCATGCAAGCCCAGTCAAAAAAAAATCTGCATCCTTCCACCTGGCTCATAGGGTATCCCAGTAAGCAATCCCCTGCAGCTGGCACCCATGACCACAGTCCACATCCTTGGAGTGGCATCCCAGCTCCTCTGCACTTCAGTGCCATTCCACATGGGCCTCAGAAGCTGGGAATAGTGCAGGCCCCAGGAGGGGCCAGGAGATGGCGCACTCCATCCACTCTTTCCCTGTGGTCGCCCAGGGACCCATCACCTGGCCTGCAGCTGGGAGGCCCTGTCCATTCCAGGAGACTCCTGGGAGACAGAGGGAGCTGCTGTTGGGGCTTCCACATCTGTCCTTACCTCTGGCACCCCACAAAGCCCAGCTCACTGCTCAGTCTCCCCTCTAAACCTAGTTCTATTCCTAGGTCCCAGCAGGGAGGGAAGGGGTGGTCACCAGGTTGGCACTTTTGCAGTCGAGGACATGGACAGTGACCATTTCATCTGGGTTCTGGCTGAGGATGTAGATGGCCTCCTTGAACAGGGCTACATGGCTCCCATCGAAGGTCACGAAGCTCAGGTCAGGGAAGACTGAGCATCGGCCTGAGGGGAAGGGCAGGGCAAGAGAAGAATAAAGGGATGCCTCTGAGGCCAGGGCCACTTAGGAAGGCAGGGCAGGGACCTGGGCCCTTTCCTGATGACTCAGAGGCCCTGCGGTTCTTCAGGGTCACTCAGGTCAGGCATCACACAGAGATCAGAGGTGGCAAATCTGCCAGGTCAGGGTTATACTAAGATGTGAGGTCCCACAGGAGGGGAGACTGGGGAGCACACAGATCAGGGATAGAAGGCACACTGGGGTTGGGGTGCAAGGAGGACACAGGAGCTCACAGGCGCAAGGGGGACTCACAGGCACACTCCCAGAGGGGGCAGCAGCGGTCCCCTCCCACCCGCACAGCGAGGCCCAGGACCCCACAGGGAGGGGGTGCAGCACCCTGGGGACAGTGCTGGGACTGGTTCACACGGATCAGCTGGCCCTCCAGGCAGATGTGGCGGACACAGTCCTGTTCGGCGATTGGCTAGAGCACAGGGTGGAGGGACAGTGTGAGTGCCCACCCCAGGGGTTACAGCCTTACTCCATCCCATGCCCCAAGCCATGAGGGCATAAGATCCTGTCCACAAGTCAGGTTCTAGCAGGGCAGGGGACACTGAGGTAAAATTACTAGGGAATGGTGCCCTCACTCTCCACCCACCGCACAAGCCATCTGGGACCTGGGGCTGAGCTTGGTATGAGATTGGGGATCAGAGGTATGATTCCCTGAGACCTCTGCATATCTGTCAGGCTTCTGCTGAGAGCTCTGGGTACACAGACATGCAAACACACTAGCTCATACTCCAAGAAACCCAAGTATACATGCACACGCACTCCTGCCTCTCTATCTCGCAAAGGCACAAAGACACAAAGATGTCTCACACCACCACCCATCGCACACCCAAGAACACAGAGATATGAGCGCTCATGCTGTCTCACACACACGAACACAAATATGTGCACAACAGTCTCACACAGGTACACAGACACAAAATGCACACGCCGGCACACCTGCACCGTTACACCCTGGGCATCACACCAAGCCATCCATTAGCCCCAGGGCCCAGATGGGCAGGGTGGGACCTTGCTATGGCATCAGGGGCCCAGAGAAGACTGGAGAATGTTTCAGGTATCAGGAGCCTAGGACAGGGTGAGGACAGTGAGTGAGCCTGGCAGCTGGTTAAGAGACAGAAGCTGCAGCGGGCCTCGGGATGTGAGTGTGGTGGTGTCCAAACCATGGAAGGAGGGCCCACACACAGGTAGCCGAATCCTGACAAGTCACTCACGACACAGGTGTGAGATGCATTGGCTTCTGTGGTGGTTGCCAAGGCCTCGGCGGAACCCTCTGCGACGCTCGGGGTCGGGGCTGAGCGCCCAGACTGCACGGTGGTGGCCTTGCCCGCTGGCTCTACTGGGGGCCGAGGTCCTGCCGACGTTCCCTGGGTGTCAGCCAGATGAGGCAGAAGGACCAGAGAGCTCTCTCGGGAGGCTGTCCTGGCTGAGACACGGCTCAGGGGATAGGATGTGGGCACTGGTGGCCCTGTGCTGGCCCAGGGACCCTCAGCCTCAGTTACTGGGGGTGCTGGGCTGTGAGTCACAGCTGGCGTGAGCTCTGCAGGCCTGCCCTGGGCAGAGTCAGAGATGGAGGTGGGTGGAGACACCTGCTTGGATAGTACGGCCATTTTCTGTGTGGTGCTCTTTCGTGGGGCAACAGACACCATGGAGGCCACCCCCTCAGCCACCGCCACGACTTCAGAGGTTGGTGACGTGGCTCCAAGAGGCAGGCCTGGAGCTGTGCCTGTTGCCTGGGGAGCTGTGTGACTGGGTGGGTGCTCCTGGGCCACCATGGCTGGGCTAAGAGGCAGTGCTGGGCTGAATGTCTGAGCAGGTGTCGTCATGGCCACGGCCAGAGACATGGTGTGTTGCTGGAGTGCAGGGCTGATGACAGAGCCTTTGGGTCCGGGTGTGGCCACTGGGGCAGACGTGCCCACCTTGGCCAGGGGCAGGCTGGTGTCAGGAGGCAGGCCAGAGAGGAGCTGGGATGGCCAAGTTGACTCCAGAGACACAAAGGGTGTGGCCCCCAGCCCGTGAGCAATTGTGGACAGGCTTGTGGCAGCCGGGGTCCCTGAGGGCAGGGCTGGAGGCCTGGTGGCTGTGGTGGTGTGCCGGGCTGGACGGGACAGTGCCGTGGGGAGTGGGCTCGGAAGTGTGGCTGCAGGCAGGCCCATGGGCTGGCCATGCCCAGGCTCATCCCTCTCTGTGGGTGGTACCATCTCCACTCTCCGGGTTGCAAGAGGACTGAGGGGAATCTGTTCTGCTGCTGTTCTAGCCACAGTTGCGGGGCTGCTGGGACTTGAAACACTCTGGGCCTGGGGGAGCTCGGGGATCCCTGTCTTGTTTGTGACCTTAGTTACTGCAGGTGTCAGCAAAGCCTTGTGGGATCCCGAGGAGGTGGGGGACCTGGAAGTCACTCCAGGGGAAGCCACAGGCCTGGAGGAGGGACTTGCAGACAAGGGGTGCTGTAGGGATGTCGTCCTGACAGGCAAGGAGCCGTGGCCTGGGACTGTCACAGCTTTGGTCATGAGTGGTATGCGAGGTGCGGGGGGTGACCGGGAGGAGACTGTGATGTTGGGGCTCCCTGCAAAGGACACAGTCACCCTGGTTGTCTCCACGGTACCTGGCACAGTGCCAGGTATGGGTGTCTGCAGCGAAAGGGGTAGGAATGAGGACTCCAGGGTGTTGGGGGTGGCCAGGAAGCTGGCAGTCACTCCCTTGCCGGCTGAGGCCTCTGTGGGGTGGGCAGGGAGGTTGGATACGGTGAGTCCCAGTGGCTGTTGCAGGGTGGCCTGGGGCGGGCCTGGAGGCAGCACTGGGCTCTCAGTGGCTGCCATCGTTGGGTTCAGGGCTGTGGCGAGTGGGGCAGCTGGGGCAAGGGCTGGTCTGTGAGTGGGGGCCTTGGGAATCTCCTGCAAAAGCTGCGGCTCCTTGTCACTGTAGGTGGGCAGCACTTGACTGGGAGGCAGGGTCTCATTGCCAAGGGCCTCTGCGGAAACCAAAACCACTGGCTCCACACCTGAGCAGACAAGAGGAGAGGTTCAGAAGGTATCTGACTGCTGGCCTGGGGGTCATCACTGGGCAGGGCTGTCATATGGGCTCAAGGTCAGGTGCTCCAGCTGATGGGGCAAAGGCCATTTCCACTGGTCACGCAGCCAGGGGTCTGTCCTGTGGTACTGGGTGACTTCAGAGAAGTCACCAGGTCTAGACTCTGCCCCAGACCTTGACCCTTGACCCCAGAGCCAACAGACCTCAGGTCTAAGTCTGGTTGCACCACCTACTCAGCGTAAGACCCCAAGCTTGTCCCTTTCCCACTCTGGGCCTCATTTCTCTGTCTGTGAAAAGGGCGAATGGGCCAGATGTGCTCTCTGCCTGTTTAAGTGTTCTCCTTCCAGAGGCCTCTATGCTGACCCTGCTTCTCTGGGACCTGGGCTCTGGGGGCTGACTGCTCAGTGAGACCCTGGGGAAGGAGAAATCCTGGCACTTACAGTCCTCCAAGTAGACACATCTCTGTGTGACTTCATCCAGGACTTTGGGAGAGGGGCACACAGGGACACAGCCTTCTACCCTGGGGATGGAGCCAGGAGCAGGTTAGTGGTCTGGAATATGGGGAGGGTCACCTCCTTTTACCTTGATAGAGCACAGGCATCATCCTCTCTTATAACACGTGCACGTGTGCATGCACACTTACATACACAGTCACATGAGCCTCCATAGAGACCCATGTGCACAGGAGCACACACACACACAGATGAGTATGCTGCACACTCTTACAACTCCGCCCCTCTGACCAAGAGGGGAACACACGTATGAACAAGATATGGTTATGCACACACTTATGAACTTGGTCACGTGTGTCTGCACCAAGGCACATTCTCACACAGCCTCACATACCCCCTCCAAGCCTGCAGGACTCCAAAATATTTACACATACATACATGTACATCTGCACAGACTCCCACAAACATCACTGTATACAGTGTTGTGCACACACACAGCTGCACACAACACTCACATACACGCAGCTGTGGATAGCACATCTACAGTCGTAGTTGTATTCACAAACACACACAAGGCTCAGCTATACACACATCATGCACAAAGAGATACTCACATGTGCCTATATATATATATATATGGCACACATGTATAAAGGTACATTCACTCTGGTACACACATGACACATGAAACACTCGTACTCAAGTATAGGTGAGTACACACACACACACACACACGCACGCCTCAGTATGCACTCATGCACATGCCACAGACCACATACAAACCCATTCACACATGTGCATGTGTACACAGCATGCATACTGGTACACACCTTGACTCTGTGCCCACACGCTCTGGCACCTCACCTGGGCACGTCCCGGCAACTGGCTGCCCGTGGGTCCTGGCAGGTTTGGAAGCAGGGACTAGCACAGGCATCATAGCGCCACTCGCAGATGGGGTAGGCAGCCCGCAAGGGCTTGGCATCTAGAAAGGAGACCCACCCAGAGTCCCTCGACTCAGTGAGACTGGGCACCAGCTCTGGGCCAGGTGCCAGAGCAGAGGCAATCCTAGCTCAGCCCATGCCCTCCCTGCCCTCTGGAGGAGACAAATGGACACATGCAGGAAAAGTGAAGAAGACCAAAAGGCCAAGCTAAATGGAAACTGCATCCCTGATGGTTGGGGTCAGTGCCTGAGGGTCCTGGGGATGGGGCTCTGGGAACTTGGTGAAGGGCTGAGGACTGGGGGAGCTCTGGCGTGTACAGCTGGAGTTGGGATGCGAGGGGTGGCCGATGATGAGGCTTGGATCCTGACCTCTCTGGAAGGCTGCCCATCCCTGCCCCTCTGGGACCTTGGTGCCAGGCTTGCCCTACACCCCAGGACACAGTCACCTCCTCCTTGCCCTGTAAGACCTCCATGGAGGTGAGGGACTGTCCATTGAGAGATGGATGAGGTGTTGGGGGATCCCTTCCCCTCTCAGCCCAAGGCCTAGGCATCTGGCCTCAGACGGACAAGGGAGCTGCCCTTCTCCAAGCTCTGCTCTCTCTGTTCCCCTCCCTGAGAAGCCTCTCAGGACCTGGGATGCAGCTTGTCTGAGCACAGCCCTTGTTGCCCCCAGTAGCTGTGGCTAATAGTAACAATAACAATAACAGCCAACCCTCAAATAGCACCAAGCACTACAGCAGTCACTGCACGGGTACTTACTCATCAGTCCTCACAATGGTCCTCTGAAGAAGGTAGTATTATTATCCATCTTATACATGAAGAAACTGAGGCACAGATGATGACAGGAAAATTAAACTTTTCCAGGGGAGATATTCTCAAAAGAGGCCCTGTGGCCAGTGCCTTGATAAATGAGGGAAGGTCTGTGGCTTATGGGGGGTTTGGAGGCAGACCCCAGACCACTTGGCACAAGTGACCAGTCTCTGAAAGCACAGCCTGGGCAGGGAGGCATGGGCAGGCTCTGCAGCAGGCTGGAGGGAGTGGCCTGACCCTGGCAACCCCTTCGTGACACCCTAATCCTCACACTGCTGCTGACCATTTAGAAAACTGCTTTTCCAAAAGCCTGGGGAGCACCTACTATGTGCTAGGCCCAGAGCAAAGCCCTTGAGATACAGTCAAGCCTTACAACTCCTTCTGAGGCAAACATCCTCTACAGGTAAAGAAACAGGCAGATGGGGTTCTCCTCTAAGTGACCAGGGTCGGGATTTGAAGCCAAAGCTGTCTGGCTTCAAAGCCTGGGCTCATTCCACTCTGCCCCAGTATCTTCCAGAGAGGGATACAAGCATTCCCATTATGAGAAAGCCTTATCATAGGCTGCGATAAGTCTGTCCTGGGTGGGGTTCACTGGTGGACTCAATAAATAACTGCTGAATGTAAGAATGTGAAGAACCAGCCCTGGATTGAGGGTGGGTGACAAAATGAAGAGGCTGGCTGCAGATACATTCACGTATGTGTCCGTGTACGTGGGTCCCCTCATACAGTACACAATGCCTTCACAGGCACAAACACATGCGTACATGCAAGACAGAGAGGCAGCCTGGAGTGGTAGAGAAACTATGATCGCTTCCTCTAGGATTTAGGCACATAACAATATATGGGGGGTGGACCCACCTAACAGGGGGATGGCAAAGCCTGGGAACTTTGGCCTCAGTGGGAAGTCAGGGAGCTGCCCCCTCACTGCCCAGGGGCCTAGGCCTCCCTTTGGAAGAGAGGAGGCTGCGGCTTCTGAGTCTGGAGCCCCAGCGGGCAGTCTTGGAGCTCAGGAGCAAGCACATGCCCCTGTCAGCAAGAAACCTGAGCCAGTGGGCTGCAAAGCCCCAGCCAGGATCACCTCTTGCCTCACTTCCACAAAGACGCTGTACTTTTAGACCATATCATTGGCCTGGAGCAGTAGGCAGGACCCAAGAAATTGGCCAGACCCCAAGCCACATTGCCCATGGCTTCCAGGCCACCAATATGGAAGCTGGGCCACCCTCCATCTCAGGGGCGGCACCTGTGTGGCCTCCCTGTGCTAGGAGAATGAGGATCCCATCTCTTGGGGGCAACTGGAAGAAAGGTGAGGTGGGGAGAGGCAGGAAGCACAGCAGAGCGCAGGGCCAGGGCCAAGGGTGATGGCAGGGGGACACCTACCCAGAAGGCGGAAGAGCGTGCCCCGGCGGAACGCCTCCGTGTGCTCGTACTGCCGCAGGGCCAGCGCAGGGCCCTGCGCGTAAAGGAAGGAGCCCAGCTTCGCCAGGGACTCCAGGGCCACCAGGCCCGCCCGCCATGTCCCCCGGTGCAATGAGAAGGAGGCATGATGGCGGAAGGCATCGCTGTCCTGCCACTTGGCCAGCTCCACAGATCCGTTGGCCGTGACATGGAGGAAGAAGTTGGGTCTGTCTGCTGCCTCCAGGGACACCACATCTAAGTCTGCAGAGAGACACATGGGTAATGTCGGTGCAGAGGGGGGATCCAGACTGTTGGGGGAGGGGGACGCAGTATGTGCTCTCAGTGCCTCAGGCCCTGCTCCCTTACACCTGTCTGCCTCCCGCAGCCCACCTGCTGGCTGCCCCTTCTCACACCACCCCTGCCGAGGGAGAGGGGACAGCTAGAGAGTCTCCAACTGCTGAGCCTCAGAAGGTGGGAACTGTCCCCTTCTCTCCCCGCCCCCTTACCTCTCTGCCTCCCTCCCTCCCTCTGCAAACATGTCTGAACACCCTCTGTGTGCCAGACACTATTCTAGACACCGGGATACAACCGCGAATAAAACAGACAAGAGGCAGCTGCCTGATGGAGTTACACTCTGGACATGTGAAACAAGCTGGGGTCTGCCAGGTTTCAGTGCCTCTGGCTTGGTCCTGCTCCTCACAGAATCCCAGAGGGTCCAAGCTGGCGGATCTCAGTCCAACTCACAGACAGGGAAAGTGTCCCAGACAGAGGCAGTGGATTGTGCAGAGACCCACAGCCCACCTCCTTTCCATCTCCATAAATGCCCATTTCTAGGGCATGGGGGCTGGCCACTAGGTGGGTTATCCCCTATACACCTGAAGGTCTCCTCAAGTCCTAAGTCCACAAGCAGGTGTATGGAATGAACATGGGGCCTGGCGTCTGAGCTCAGTACCCAGCTGTGTGTGGGCAAGTGAACTAGCACCCTGGGCTGTCGTGAGCCATGACCAATAAGGTATATGTGAAGGGCCTGGCAGGGGCCTGTGTGTCCCCTGTGTCCCTAAGAGGGACCTATAGTGTCCCTGTTATGCCTCCCTGGGCAGCCATGAGAAGACATGAGATAACTGGGGGAAGAATTCATTGTTAATGTCAATAATAATGCCTGCTCCTTATAAATGACTTGCTATGTGCCAGGCACTATGCTAAGCGAGTCCTTTACCTGCAGATTATTATATTAAATTCCTGCGAGAACCCTGTAAAGTGGCAAATTCATTCATTGAGCAGCAAATATTTACTGAGTGCCTGCTATGTGCCAGGCACTCTTCCCAGCACTGGGGAGATAATAGGGAACAAGTTTACATTCAAGTGGGGGGAGGATAAATATAATGAACAGGTAAATTCTGTAATAGGTTAGAAGGTGATGATATTGCTCTCCTCGTTTTACAGATGAGGGAAGCGAGGCCCAGAGTCACACTGACACGCATAAGGGAGGCAGGATCTGCACCCACGCGGGCTGATTTCACCAGCTCACAGCCAGCTCCAGGGACAGGATGCAAGAGCATGCAGGGGCAGCACAGCGGGGCAGAGCACCGAGTCCCAGGCCCAGCCCCACTCGCACTCACTGGGTGACCTTGGGAAAGTCACCTACCCTCTCTGGGCCTTGGTTTCCTCCTTCAGCAAGACGGGGGTTGGCCCAGATAAGGTTTCTCAGCCATTTTCCCTGAAGTCCTTCTAATAGGACAGAGGCTGAAACCCAAACCTTCAGGTGCAAAGTTTTGTGTTTTACCTTAAACATTCAAGTGACTTGTACTTCTATTCTCTAAACTGTATTTCTTTTTTAATCTTTTTTTTTTTCTCCTTTTTTTTTGTCTTTTTTCGTGACCGGCAATGGGATCGCAACCCTCAGTGTCGCGCCCGCACCGTGCTCAACCAGTGAGCGGACCGGTCTCTATATGGGATCCGAACCCTCGGCGGGAGCGCTGCCGCACTCCCAAGCGCCGCACTCTACCGAGTGCGCCACAGGGCCGGCCCTCTTTTTTAATCTTTTTGTGTGAGAGGCAGCATGGCATCGTCGTTAGGATAAAGGACTCTGGAGCCAAAAGCCTGGCTCCTGTCACTAACGAACAATATATCCTTGGGTAAATGACCTAACCTCTCTAGGCCTCAGTACTCTCACCTATAAATTGGGAAAATAATAGCATATACCTCCTGAAGTTGCTGTGGGGATGAAATAGTTATTATATATGAAACACTTAGAACAGTACCTGACACATGGTAAGTACTAAAGAAATGTGAGCTATTGTTATTAATGAATTATTAATAAATAAGTAACATCCCCCCAGTATCTTCAAGTAACAGCAACACTCCAGGGAGATGTGCTGGGCTGTGGCTTGTGTCCCTTTAGGACATCAAGACCCCCCAGAGTGAGAAGCCCGGGCCTCGATGATTGCTGAATCCTCCCTTCTGACCTTTTCTGCTCTCCATTTCTTCCCATCTCCATCTCTTCCATCCCTCAAGGCCCAACTCAAGTACACTTCCTCCATGCGGCCACCCCAGATCTCACCTGGAAGGCATTTTTTCTTCTGTTGTTCAGTACCCTGGGCACAGTACAAGGAAAGAAGCACAGGATGGGGGGTAGCCTGGGTTCTCACTGTGCCCATTAGACCCAGGCCCATCTGCAAGCTAGAGCCTGGACTTGACAGCCTCTGGGGATCCTTCCCACGGTGATGTTCTCCAAGGCCAGGTGACTCTGGGGCTCTGCTAAGCACCACCATAAAACCACCAGACAGTCAACACTCCCTCTGGACTACACTTTACTTAAGATATTGAAGGAAGAACAGAAAATCCTCACTAAGCAGATGGCCCACCACATCTGGGAGGTTGTGAGACACCCCTTTTCAAGCAGGAGCACACAGACCTGGAGATTGGAACTGTCTAAGGAGGAAGCGCTTGCTTCGGGGTGGTGGGGGTGCTTCTGTCCCTCACGTAGCCCTGGCTCTTCACTCCCAGACCTCCACGTGCAGCTACATGGTTCTGCCCAGCAACCCTGCTGTACCCTGGGCTCACACCACAGAACATCACCCATAGCTGGGAACCTTGGCTATGCCTGGAGCTGGGCAGGAGCCAGGGTGTCCTTCTCCTCTTCAAAGCCCTTCCATGGCTCCCCATTGCCCTCAGGATAAAGTCCCTATTCCTGAGCTTAGCTTACAAGTCCTTTCCTGACTCTTCCTCACCCCAGGGGAACAAACATCACTTATTTCAAGAAGCCTCTCCTGGGGCTGGCTGGTCAGCTCAGCTGGTTAGAGCACAGCCTTGTAACACCAAGGTCAAGGGTTCAGTTCCTCTCACCAGCCAGCTGCCAGAAATAAAATAAAATAAAAATAAATAAATAAATAAAAGATGCCTCTCTTGACTCCCCAAGACTAAGTTAGGGGAACCTCCTAAGTGTTCCCACAGTTGTGGCAACTGCTTTTGGCCTTGTCTGTCTCCCTGACAGGACTATGGGACTGTGGACTTCTGCTAGGCAGGGACTGCGTCTCCTACATCCCTGATTCCCCAGTGTCCAGCTCTGTGCCTGGCATGGGATTTAGACTCAATGAAAGGAAGGAAGGGAGGGAGGGGAGGTAAAAAAAGGAGGGGAGGCGGGCGGGGAGAAAGAGAGGGAGGAGGAGCTGTTGCCATTTGACTTTTCTGGAACACAGCTATGGCATAAAACAAGGCATGAAGGCTTCCCCAGCATTTGGGGGGAGAAGATGGAAAGTGTCTCTTCCCAGAGGCTAAGAGACTGACCCAGAAACCATCTCAACTGGGAAAGGGGCACAATTTCTCCAGCCACTACAGATGGTTTAGGGCTTCAGCACCCACCCCTCCTTCAGCATCTGCCTCCCTCCCAAAAGGGCAAGAATGGGGCCAGGGTGGGCCTTACCGTGGGCCTTGGCCTTGTACAGAGCAGCTGTCAGCAGGAAGCTCACGATGTCCCCTGGCGCCACATCATCTGTCCTCACTAGGACTATGTCATCACCCACCGCCTTCACGGCCACGAGGGCACCACCGGCTGCCAAGCTGGACAGCTGGTAGGGACCCTTACCCAGTGCTGGAGAGAAGAGGCCCAGTCACAGCCTACCTCCCAGGCCTCTGCCTACCTCCCATCCCCACCTGGAGGGGAGGGGAAGGGGGGGGTGCCAAGCAGGGACTCTTGGTGGCTTCCTTCATCCCAGGCCCCAGGCACCTTGATTCCCATGAGACAGAAGGGACAGGAACCCCAGGCTGCCAGCGCCTGAAGGGAACTGACCCTGTGCACAGTGCCTGAATCATTTCACAGGGAGCCTGAGAAAAGGGCCACCCACAAGGGACATCTGGGCCCCCAAATGTCTCTCCATGGCCTGTCCCACTGCTTGAAACTTTACCATGACAGCTACTGCTCTATCCAAGGTCACCTCTGGGAGAAGGCATCAGACCCAGTCTCTGCCCACCCAAGACTCAAGGGCTGAAGGCCAGGAAGGCTTGGGCTCATGGTCAGTGTTTATTTCAAACATGTGTCATTTTGTGTGTTTGGGGTCCCTGTAGTCATCAGTATGGGTTGGAGCAGGTCGTGAGTTCCCTAAACAACTGCAACAGCCTTGCATCTGATCGTCCTGTCTTTGGTGCCCCCCTCCCCCCGCCATGCCTCCTCCCCACAGCTGCCTGAGTCACCTTCCCAGCCGGACTCCCTGCTGGGACTTACTAGTGGCTCCCCCTTGCCCTCAGGATAGTCTCCAAAGAGCCCAGCCTGAATTCAGGGGCCCTTCATCCCCAACCCCTGCCTGCCTCCCCCGCATTCCCCACACCTGGCTCCTGCCACAATTAACTTCTCTTGCTCTTCCTTGGAGGAACTGTGCTATTTCCCACATGTGTCTCCATCCATGCTGTTCCACCCACTCACAGTAGTCGCCCCGTTTTGTGCCTGGCAAATGCCCACTCAGTCTCTGGGGCCCAGCTCAAATGTCATCTCCTTGGTGGAGCTCTCCTTGCACCCTCTCCTCCCCTGTGCTGCACCAGCCCTGGAGCATGGCACACACCAATCACAGCTCTTATGATGAGGATCTGGATCAGAGGTCCATGTCTGTCTCCCCCACTAGACGGGAGACAGGCAATGCTGTGCTGGTAAATGGTTAACAACCAGCTCTCAAAAAAACAAACAAAAACCAGTTTGTGGTGTCTGCTGATCTCCATGGTGTAAATACTCCCACCTGTGGCCAATTTCAAGCAACCAACTGAATGCAGAGTGCAGAACACAGCTGGTGCCAGAGAGGCAGTGTGAGCCGGCTCTAGCCACCGCTGTGACAGGTCTCATTTACCCTTCCCTTCCCAGCGCTCCCAGGCCTGGACCACAGAAAATGTTGGTAGAAGAACGCAGCAAGGAATGGATGTGTGGGCAGGTGGGTAGGTGGAGGATGTGAGAAACAGCTTGTCCTTTGCCAGTTACTGCCACCCAAAATGTCACAGAAAACTCTGCTCAGAGCTGTTTTGCTGAAATGTCTTGCCTGATGTCAGACAGACCCGGCCTGTCCCCGGGACTGCAGCTGTCCCTTTACAGATTCATCCCTTTAGGGGTTGGAGGGTTTGGGCCATAAAGAGTCCTAGGGGCTAACATTTTGGCAGGATTGCAGTCCCTGGTTCGTCCCTCATCTTGCAGACCCCCTAATTGGTATACTTGCTTCTAATCTGCCCCCCTCCATTTCACCCCCATACTCTAGCCAGGGTGATGTTGCTCAAACCAGAATCTGGTATTGCAGATAACTGAGGACAAAGCCTTGGATCTATCCCCACAGAGGCCTGTTCCTGACAGGACAGTGCCTGCAGGTTGTTGGGGGGTGCTTGGAAGTCAGAGGTGAACAGCACCCAGGACCGGATGAGCATCTAACTCTGCCAAGGGCTGACCCTGACCTTGGCCCAAGTGGATGAAGTTCAGTGCTGAGAACTGCTGCTGGGAAGCTTGCCCCTCCCCGTCCCTCCCCCATCCACCCAACCCCAGTGATTAAACTGACTAATTGGCTCTAACACTGGTCTTTAATCTCCCTTGGGTCCTCGGTCATGACCAGTGTTTTTATTAATCTAGATGCTGGAGAACATTCTGGTACCCTGCGACCATGGCTGAATTTGAAGATGCATCCTACAGGCCACTTGTTTTGCCCCAGCCATCCTCAGAAAGAGTGGCTTGCATTTGCTTTTGCCAATTCAAACCTTCAGGGAACCCAAGATGACATATGTGAGCCTGGTGAGCTAGATTGTGAAGTCCCAGGAGCTGGCACATGGTGCAAATGAGGTTTTTGCTTCCTGGTGAAGCTGCCCTGCGTGAGCACAATCCCCAGGAGGGGCCTGGCCTGGGCCCTGGACAGGGGCTGCAGAAACCACTGGGGACAGAATTCTGGGCCATCCCTGGGCCTTGCACTGTCAGGGCTCTCAGCATGATGGAGTCCTTTCCAGCCCAGTGTCACGGCTCTTCCAGGGCCAGCAGCACCTCAGGATGGCTGATGCTGATGTGGCCTCAAGCAGGGCTGGTGGTGTCCCGGGCCCTAAGCTCCACATGGGTAGGATGGGCTTACCTTTGTTAAAGAAGTCACAGTCATACGCTGAAAGAGAGAGAATAGAGACTTCTTGAGAGCGGCCCAGAGCCTGGAACATATGGACAGGGCAAGGCCCCTAGCATCCCAGCTTCCCTCCTGCCCCAAGGGGCCTGTCCTGACCTGCCTCCCAAACTCAAGATTCATGGATGGTCATTGGATTCAGATGTCTTAGGACGGATGGAATATAATGGCTCAAAGCCTGGCACAGAGTAGGCGCTCAGCGATGTGTCAAATGAATGAATGAATGAATAAATGTTGGACAGAAAGATATGTTTTGTGTGGCCCTAAAGAGCAGGATTAGAACCAAGGGGTGGGAGCTCCAATCAGAAGTGTTGCAGAAAGTCCCTGGAGGAACTCAAGCACGAGATGGAAATCAGTCTTCCAAGAGCCCCGGGTGGGAAGGAGACCAGGGACTCCCTGAATCTCAGGCTTCCTCAGGCCCCTCTGTGCAAGTTCCCTTGCTCAGCAAAAGTGCTTCCACCAGCCAGGCTGTGCCAAGCTCCTACAAGCGTGAGCTTGGCGCACCCTCTAGTGGCCCATCCCAGCACCACAGCCTGTTCGGAGGTGTATCAGCTACGGATTCTTCAGTCCACTGGGGTAAGCTGGGGGGACAGCATGGGACACCTACAGCCAGGGGACACCTACAGCCATGAAGAGCCAGTGTGATAGGCTTGGGATGAAGGCTGAGGAGGGGTCTGCTTCACACTTAAGCATGGTCTGAACAGCACTACCAACTCCACTCCTCATCCCATACCCCATGTTCAATATATCTGGCACTGCCCTCTGGAAAGAGCACTAGGTGTCAGGAGGCCATAAGCAAGTACCTATCTTTCCTCATTTGTGGACTCAGAAGACTGAACTAGAAAATTAGACCATCACCAAATCTCTGGTTTCTAGTGTGTACTGGGACAATGGGAGGTAGCCCAGAAGAGTCATTAAAAGTCAGCTGTCCTGGGGTCAAACGTGAGTTCCAATCCCATCTCTCTCACTCATCAGCTGTGCATACTGGGGCAAGTTACTTAGCCTCTCTGATATGTAATGCCCCCCCTCTAAGGTGGGACAACTACTAGCATCTGCCCCATAGACTTGCTAGGGCCTGGACGAGGGTAAGGCAAAGTGCTTGACTCAGGTGCAAAATTTAAGAGGCCCCCAAAATTTCAATAATTAAGACAAACACTATTCTAATGCAATATCTAAAAAAATATCAAAATTAATGCAAAAATTCCATGATGAATAAAATTTAAAGATAAAGACAGGATCGGTGACAGTGTCCTGTTGAGCCATGCTGGAGCCTGAGACAAAAGATTATTATTGATTAATAATATTGATCCTCTGATATTTTGTTCACAAAGCATATTTTTGCATTAATTTTTAAGTTCAAAAAATATTGCACTAAATATCATTTATCTTGATTACTGAGTTTTTGGGAGCCCCCTTAAATCTCATGCCCCAAGTGAGTGCCTTGCTCTTCTCACCCTGGTCCTGAATACTAAATGAGGCAATGCACATAAGGCACAGGCCTGGCACACAGTAGATCCTCAGTAAACGCATGTGTCCTTCTCCTTCCCAAAGGATTTTTATCAGAGAAGTGGAGGGAGAGGCAGCTGGAAGTTCTCAGGGAAAAACAGGCAGAGAAAAAAGAGGCCAAAGGCAGGTTCTGCTCCATCTTCCTTGGGGTCGTCCTATCTGGAGCCCCCAGAGCTCAGGACATGACAGCACCCACATCTCCGTGAAAACAACAGCAACCCTGCGAAGGCATTGAGCACTGTGCCAAGCGCTCTACATGCATCGTCTCATTTACATCTCACAGCATCCTACAAGGTAGGGACGGTTATCTCCACCCCTCTGCCACAGATGAAGAAACCTGTAGTATAAGGTACGTGCCCCAGGCTACTCAGCATGGTGGAATTTGGGTCTGAACCCAGATAGAGCTTGTGTAATTGCCATGGCATCCCAAAGTGAGTGTGCTTGCACCAGAAAAATCCATCAGCATGCAGGAATAAATAATACATGATAAATTTATTACTAATTCAACTTCTATATATTTCATCTTTTGAATATTTATTTCATCTTTTGAATATTTATTTTGTATGTGTTTTGTGATATACATTTACACTACTAATAGTATACATATTCACGTACATTTATGTATGCAGATGTATGTGTGCATATGTGTGTGTGTTCCAAATATTTTTATTTGACAGGGGTGTGCAATCAAAAGTGTTTGCAGACCACCATTGCTCTGAATGAAGTGATAACCATGCTGCCTCTGGTGGGACCTGCACATCTCAGCTGACAAAGGGCTCTTACATTTACTATCCCGTTTGATCCTCATGGTAAACCTTGTGGGGCAGGTCTTTTCCTATTTTTCAGATGAGAAGATTGAGCTCCAGCAAGCCTGGGTGACTTGTTTGAGGTCACATGGCTTGTAAACGGCAGCTCTGGGTCTGAAATCCAGGGCTGCTGACTCTTCTAGCAAAGTGGCTATGAGGATTAACTGGGGATGAACCCTTCCTCCACCTCTAACTCTTGTGACCTTGAGCATGTTATTTAATCTCTCTTTCTAAGCTCAGGTTCTCCGACTGTACAATAAGAATATAGAGTCCTACTTCAAAGGGTAGTTGTAAGAACTCAAAGAATCATACACACAAAGCAGCTAGTGCCTGGCACACAGCAAGTACTCAATAAATACTAGCCAGAGTGATGGCATCCCACTGGCCATCCACAGGGGACACTCACGGCAGAGGCGCGGGGTCCGCCAGTCAATGGCCACCCCATGCTGGCAGCACTGGTGGGCATAGGCGGACACGCTGGCACAGAAGCACTCACAGTCACCACCCCGGCTGCACCCACATGTGTCCATCAGGCAGTTTGAGTAAAACCAAGTGACATCGACCTGGAAGAGGTCAGAAGTCAGAGGTCAGAGGGCAGATCTCAAACATGAAGGGACCGTGGGATAGGGCAAGCTGCCGTGTGGGGTGAGGGGAGAAAGGCAGGCAGCTTGGATGGAACCAAGAGCTCCAGAGCTCAAGCAGACACCCATTTTTGAGAACTAAGCGATCCTCTACCCTGAGCCTGGCTGTCTGATGCAGGGGCTAAGAGAGTGGCTGAAGAACAGATACAGGGTCTGAACCGCCAGCCAGGCCAGAGACAGCCAAAGCCAGTCTGACTTCAAGGCCCTGTAGGGTGCCACGCAGAGTGGGCACTGCTGTCCTGTCTCCACTCAGGCAAGAACAGGCAACAGATGGTGCAGCATGAGGGGATCGGGTTCACCATTCAGAAGAACTTCCTGATAAGGAGGAAGAGCCAGATTGAGAAGAGAGCTCAGAAGCTCTGTTTGCCTGACTGTTGTCCCTGGTCATCTGGGGAAACAGGAGGAACTCATCTGAGCAGGCTGGAGGCAGGAGACTGGCAGAGATGGTCTCTCCTCTAGACCTGAGCTGTCTCTTCCAAGGTGTGAGGGAGCCTGAGAGTAGAAGGGATCCCAGGAAAGGGGGGAGGAGTTTCAGGAGGGGCTGAGGCTGGAGTCACTCACCACAGGGTGGCAGGTCTCAAACACCTCACTGAGCAGGATGCTGCACTCTTTCTTGGCAAATGGCTCTCGGAGAGGATTCAGGACACATGTGTCCCGAGGGTCGAGGGTATCTGGGCACTGAGGGGCAAAGGCAGAGCTGTTGACCTCCTATCCCCCAAATGCCCATTACCTGGTGTGGCAAACAGACTCAGGCCACCATGTTCCCTGCCTCCTGGTTTTCATGTCCTTATACAATTCCCCTCCCCTTGAATGTGGGATGGACCTATAACTTGCTTTAAACCAACAGAATATGGCCTAGGTGATGGGACGTAAGTGGTTTTGTGCACGTGTTACATGATTATGTTACATAAGGTCAAAGAGCCCATCTTGCTGGAGTATCCCTTGCTGGCTGTAAGGAAGCAAGAAGCCATGGTGGGGATTGGGGAACCCCCAGGGCAAGAAGCATGGGTGGTCTCTAGAAGCAGAGGGTGGTCTCCGGCCAACAGCTAGCCAAAACACTGAAGCTCTCAGTCCTGCACTTGCAAGGAGCTGAAGGCCACCAACAGCCACAGGAGCAGGCGGGGAACCAATTCCTTCCCAGTTGAGCATGCAGATGAGCCTCCAGCCCTGGCTGACACCTTGGCTGCAGCCTGTGAGACACCAGGCAGAGAATCTAGTCCAGCTGGGCTCTGACTCCTGACCCACAGAAACTGTGAGATAACACATGTTGTTTAATGTTGCTAAGCAGAATAATATTGTTACACAGCAATAGATAACTAATACAGATCTCCTCAATGTCTGCTGAATCTCCTTCCCCAGACCTGCGTTTTCACTAGAGCTGCCCAGACTATGCCTAAGGGCATGAGCAAGAGAGAAATATGGGCGGTAGGAGGACAACAAAGGTTAGTCACCCACCCAGCTTCTCTAAAATAGGGGTGGGTTAGGTTAGGACACGCTTTTTCAAGGCTGTGGGACCAGCCTTGTCTCACATCAGGATTACATTGAGAGCTTCAGGCTATGGCCAACTGCTCCTCTATCTGAGTCTACATGGGCTCATCTCCGTCTACTCCCCAGCAGAGAGTTAAGATCACTTAATCCAGGAAAGGCAAAAATGCAACACTCATGTCACCTCTCTCCACCTCTGCACCCATGGCAGACATAAATAATCAATCCTCCTTCCAGCTGAGTCTGACACAAGTCCTAGATACTTCTCAACACAGCTTCCCAGGCAGCTGTTTCTGACTGATCAGAGTTTTCACATGAAGTGAAGTCTATTCATCTTTCCTCTCCTGGCATAGCCCTCTCACTTCACAGAAAACCACAGATCGAGATCACCCAGCAAGTCATTGGATGATGCAAGACAAGAAAGCAGGCCTGCAAGAGGGTAAGATGGCCATGCTTCAACAAGCCTCACCTTCCCCACTAGGTGGCCAACTCTCCTGGGACAGAGACTTGGTCTCCTTCCCACCCACCCCCATTCTCCCACCAGTACTTCGTCCAGGGCAGTGTGGGCAGCAGATTTGTGAGATGGAATGATGCAAGTCCTCAGGCTATAAGACAGAGTCTAGGGCTAGCGATGCTGGCCAAAGGCTAAGAGAGTATCTGCAGGAGCAGCCTCACATCAATGTCCCTTTTCCCTGACTTGGGACCAGGTTCAGTGCGGACCCAGTGCCCACCTGAGTGAGGGGCAAGGGCCAGTGTATGGAGGCTTTACCTCGACTGCAGCCCAACTGCTGCCGAACTCCTGGGGGTTGGTTAATTCTAGGTTCTCTGGGGTCCTCATCTCATTTATGGTTTTTAAGTCAAAGTTCCCGCAGAGACCTGCCAGCTGTCCCTGAAAAGAGAGATGTTACCACAGTCAGTTGCCAGCACACCAGAGGTGAGCTGTAGGCAAAGGGATCACCACAAGCCCAGGGTTCTGTCATGGACCCAGAAGCAACTGCTGGGGTCACAATTTGAAGAGGGATAGACGCAATGTCAGAGAGAAGGGACAGAGTAGGGTGGGAGCAGACGGGACAGAGGCATGCTCTTCATGGCTGTTCAGTGAGTGTATGGCTCATGCACAGACACCCCATGGCTTGGCTCTGCCCCAGACAGGAGCAGAGGAACGCATGAGGGTCACTGCTCATATGACTACCTGCCACTGAGGCCCAGCCTGGACGTGCACTGTGGTTCTCTGGTCCCACAAGAGGGTGATGTGCTCCCGTGGGAAATGCACCAGCGTGAAAAACCCTGCTCGCCATGTGTGTACCTCCTGCTTCTCATCCAGGAAGCTCTCGGGACTCTAGGGGGACAGAGATGGTCAGTCCTGAAGCCCAAGTACTCTCCAAAGCCAGCCCGGGTCAGCTGGGTCTGGCTACAAGTCACTACCCAACCCTGCACCCTCACCAATGCCCATGCCTTTCTCAGGCCCTGACATTGACCGCTGCATTCCTGCCCCTGGCCAAGGAATTCATTCTGGGCTCCTAACTCAGTGGTGCTCCAAGAGAAACTGCTGTGGTAAGGAAACAAGTCCTTAGCTCTGTTCTTCCCCCAGTTCCCTTGTAACCTGTAAACTGTCTATACAACCTTCACCAGCACCAGGCCTTACAGGATTTCCTGAGTCGTCATCAAAGATGATGAGTGAGTTCCCAACGTTGATGGAAATAAATTTCCTGCAGATGATGCCAGAGCTGTAGCAGTTTACATTTTCTACAATCACAGAGAAGCTCAAGTCTGATGTGCTCTGAGGAGAAAATAAATGAGCCCAATAAAACCACAGAGCAAAGAGATCCTGTGAGAGGCACAGAGGTGGAGGGAAAAGAACTGTGAAGTGGTTTTCAGTCCACTTTTACTTTTCATTAGCTGTCTGACTTTAGGCAACTTACTTCAGTTCTCCTAAGCTCAGTTTCATTTTCTGGTGCCTAGTGCTGTGCTTAGCATGTAGTGACTCTCCCAAAAGGATCTGGTAAATGAATGAATGAATTAATATATAATAGGACAATTGGTGTTGACAGAGGTATGGGGAAGGGTCACTGTCTTACAGACCCTCTTGATGTAAGCCTTTTTTGGAAGGCAGTTTGTCAGAATATTTTAAATGTACATAACTTTTTATACAGCAATTCCACTTCCAAAAACCTAGAGATACATCCACACAAATATTTGTTGCAGCTTTTAAATACTGGAAACAACCTAAAGTTTCATCAATGGGGAATAAATAATAATAACAAACTAGAGTACTTTCTGTAGAATTCTACCCAACTGTTAAAAAGAAAACAGTACCGGCCGGCCCGGTGGCGCACTCGGTAGAGTGCGGTGCTTGGGAATGTGGCAGCGCTCCCGCCGAGGGTCCGGATCCCATATAGAGACCAGTCCACTCACTGGTTGAGCGTGGTGCGGGCGCGACACCGAGGGTTGCGATCCCATTGCCGGTGGCGGTACGGGCGCGACACTGAGGGTTGCGATCCCGTTACCGGTCACAAAAAAAGACAAAAAAAGGAAAAAAAAAAAAAAGAAAAAGAAAACAGTACGTACTGACTATATGAGATAATGTCCAAGGTACACTATTAAGTAAAAAAAGCAAATTGCAGAATCCTATTCATATAAACAAAGAGTATGTGTGCGCATGCGTGTGTTTGCATGCATGCATGCATGTGCGTGTATATGGATGTCTGCATGTCTCATGGAAAATGGTCTTGCAGGACTCACCCCTGACTGCTGGGGGTGGTTATTCAGCAGGGAGGGGAACGGAAGAGATGTGAAGGGGAACATTTGTTGTTAATATATACTCCTATATTGTTTTAAGTACTAGTGAAGAGCATGCATTACCTTTGAAATTTATAAAACAAAACAAAATAAGGTCAGTAACCTTGATCTTGTGGAGTTATTGATATTATGTGAAAGACCCCAGTACAGTGCCTGCCTCATAGTTAGGGCTCATTCCATAAAAGGTTTTGTCACGGTTATTATTATTATTATTATTATTATTATTATTACTGTTACTCTTACATGATGAGACGGACAGGCCTTTAGCAAAACAAAGGTCCCCTGGGTGTGTGTCTGGAACTTCCCCCCAACCATGTTGGTGCCCCTCCTCTCCTCCTAGGGGGATCCTGCCTTCACTGTGCCATCCACATCCCCAGTCATCTTCCTCCAGGTGAGCAACGATTTTCACATGTGACTCCTGAAGCATGCTAACTCTCCAGCCAGATTTCTTGGCTTCAAACCTGACCCCAGCTCTGCCACTGACTAGCTGTGTGACCTCAGGTAAGTTACCTAACTTCCCTATGCCCAAGTTGCTACATCTGTAAAATGGGGTCAATTAACCCAACCTTGTAGGGTTGCTGCAAGAATTAAGTGAAATAATTCACAAAAATGGCTCAGTGGACCACTAGACACATATTAAAAGCTTAAAAAGCGTTAAGTCTTATATTATAGAGAGCAAAACCATGGGGACCCAATGGGGCCAGAATACAACAGTGAGTGGACAGGCAGTGGGGTATTTTATGGCTGGCAGATTCCTTCCAACCCTGAGCTTTGCCCTCAGCACTTATTTTCATCTCTAGCAGCCACACCTCAGGCCTTAGATCTCTCTGCCCACCCAAATGTGCATGAGACTGGAGTCCAGAGTGTCAACATGTCCTGAAAGGTCCTTAGCCCCTGCTATTCTAGTTCCCCATGGAGCCAGCTGGAACTCACCTTGACCAGGTGCACTTTGCATGCCCCCACAAAGTCAAACAGGAGCCCATCAAAGGTGTGGTAATGTCGGTCACCATAGGCAGTGCAGGTGGAGGCGCATGGGTGGAGGGTGCACTGGAACGAGCCCTGCTGGCACATGCTGAAACACACACGCCCAGACCAGCTTGCAGGGCACACCGCACCCTGTACTTGAGTACCCACAACAGGGCCATTGTCTATTGAATGCACATTTTGTGCCCTAGGGCAAGGGGCTAGCAAATGTCATCAACCTCTGACAGAAGCCCGAAGGGCAGGATTGGGATCCCCACTTTATGTAGGAGACACTGGGGTTCAGAGAGGTTAAGGGACACACAGTCAATACACAATGGAGCTGAGATTTAAATCAAATCTAATTAACTCCAAAGTCCACACTCTCTTTACCATTCCATTCATTCATTCATTCAACAAATACTAGGCACGTATCATATCCCAGGCATTATTCCAGGAGTTTGAGATGCATCAGTGAACAAAACAGGAAAAACAAAACAAAACAATAAAAACCTAACTAACAAACCTCTGCCTTTGTAAAACTTATATTCTAGAAGGGGGAGATACACAATACATAACTTTAAAAAATAACAAGTAAGTATAACTAAGTACTATAGTGTGTTACAAAGCAATGAGTGCTACAGAATGGGGAAGAGCAGGATAAAGAGGATTGGGATTGTGTGGGAGTTGGTTGCAATTTTAAATAGGGTGGTTGGGAGACATGTGAGCAAAGACTTAAAGGAGGTAAGAGAGTTAACTATACGGACTTATGGAAGAAGAACATCTGCACAGAAAGTACAATCTTTGCAAAGGCCCTGGGAGACACTCAGCAGGCAACATTGCTAGAATGGAGCATACAAGAGGAATTCCAAGGGATGATGGAGGGCCAAATGATGATGGAGGGTCCAAAAAGCTTTTGCTAGGAATGAGAGAGGGAGTCATTGGAGGATTTGGTCATGGGAACGACATGATTTGATTATGTCCTGCTCTGGCTGCTGCACCGAGGCTAAGCTGAAGGGGGTCAAGAGGAAGCAGAAAGCCCAGTTGGGAGGCTACTGCAGCAAATCAGGGAGGACATGATGGCAGCTCCCAGCAGGTTAACAGGAGTGGAAGGAGTGAGAAGCGGTCAGATTCTGGATATATTCTGGAGGTAGAAACAGAAGGATTTGCAGACAGCTTTGATATGGGTAGTGAGAGAGAGGCCTCAAAGATGACTCCAGGCTTTTTGGCATGAATAACTGAAAGAATGGAGTCTTCATCAGCCCAGATGGAGAAGGCTGAGGGAGAAGCAGGTCTGAGGTGAAGGATTAGGTGTTCAGTTTTGGACACGTTGAGTTTGAGATGTCCATTACATATACATGTGGTGATGTCAAGTTGGATGTGTAAGTTCAGAAGAGAGGTCTGGACTACAGGTGGGGAAAAAGAATAAGAAAAGAGGTGAATTTTATTTTTTTCAAAAAATCAATATTATGAAGTCAAATGTTGGACATTTGGGAGTCGTCTTCATATGGTGGGGCTTACAGCCATGAGGCTGGGTGAGTTCACCGAGGGAATGGGTATAAATACAAAGAGAAGAGGTTCCTTGGGGTGCTCCAATATTAAGAGGTTGGAGAAGAGTGGGCTGGCCAGTTAGCCCACTCGGTTGAGCATGGTGCTGATAACACCAAGGTCAAGGTTCAGATCCCCACACTGGCCAGCCCCTTCCCCACCCCCCTCCAAAAGAGGTTGGAGAAGAAGAACCAGCAAATGAAGCTGAGCAAGAGCAGGAAGAGAGGTAGGAGGAAAACCAAGGGGGTGTGGTGTCCCAGAAGCCACATGAATAAAGGTAGCAAGGAGGAAGGAATGGACAACAAGTGATCAACTGTGTCAATGCTGCTAACAGGAGTAGGAAGATGAGGACCGAGAAATGAACACTGGACGTAGCAACATGGAGGCTACGGGTGACCTTGGTAGGAACAATTTCAATAGAATGGTGGGGAAAACGCCTGACTAGAGTGGGCTTAATGGAGAATGGGAGAGTAGGAATTGGAAACAGCAAGTACAGACAACTTTTTTGAGAAGTTTTGCAATAAAATAAGAGCAAAGAAATACAGCAGTTGCTTGCAGGTATTTTTATGCTGTGGGGAGGATCCAGTAGAGAATGACAAGTTGATTACATGGGAGAGAAAAGGGAGAGATGCTGTAGTGTTGCCTTTGGACAAGTGAAAGGGCTGGAATCTGGAGCCCAAGTGAAAGGATTGGCTTTGGATAGGAGCAGACACTTAGTTCCTCTGCGGTGTAGGTGGAATGGCAGAATACGTGGGTACTGAGTCTTGGAAAGTTCTCTTCTGATGGCTTCAACTTTCTTGTAAAACAGGAAGCAAGATCATCAAGGCTGGTTGAATTATTGAGGATGACAAGACCTACAGGATGACCAGTCCCTCCACTAAGGTGTAGAAAGATCACTGGAAGAAAAAAGATGAAGACATTGAGATGTCAGGAAATACTAGAAACATTTCTAAATGGATATTGAAATCTCCAAGAATTAGGACAGGAGTAGGATTGGACAGAGTGACAGTGAGTCCAGGGCCAAAATCTTCAAGAAGAAAGGGGCAGACATGATCTGGGGATCCATGTGTGACAGCAACAATGAGGGCAGGCTCTCTCCAACCTCACGCCAGACACACACTCAGTCACTCACTGACTTCACATCTTGCCGAGCCTGCGTGTGCATCCAATTGCACACCCACCTGCGTGACTTACAACTCAGCTATCTCTATGGTGCACTCCCACAGTGGCTGCCAGCCAGGCCCCATCCTGGTCAACAGATCCTATCTAATGCTCAAGCCACACCAGCCTAGACACAGTCCACCACCCACCTCCGCACTAGAGAGCAGCTGGAATCAGGGGTCAGGGACACAGTGGCATGTCCTTCAAGAGGGAATGTTGAGAAGGTCTGTACATGTGTTAGGGAGAATTTTAAAAACTGAGTTAAAAAGTAAGAACTTGCCCATACGTCTCCCAGTCTCCTATCAGGGACGCAGTGGCATGTCCTTCAAGAGGGAATGTTGAGAAGGTCTGTACATGTGTTAGGAAGGGAGAATTTTAAAAACTGAGTTAAAAAGTAAGAACTTGCCCATACGTCTCCCAGTCTCCTAAGGGACAGAGGATACCTATCCTATGGCCAATCAGCCTCTCCCGTGAAGACAGCCTGTCTTTGAAGACAGAAGCCTCCTCATGTCAGGGTTCCAAATCCTAAAATAGTCTCAGCCCCTTGGCCCTGGCTCCAGACTCTATCTACCACCTTCCTCTTTGGATCTGATTTCTGAGCACAGTGTGCTCACAGGAGAGTATTACACATCCCCTGTCTGCGGTGGGGGTGCTGATGCAGGTGGAAGGGCTGGAATCCAGTGAAGTGACAGAAGTGAGACAGGCCCGGGCCTGAGCACCTGGGTGGATCCAGGCCAGCCAGCCCTGATTGCTTGCCATGGGCACC